TGCACCTTGCCAGTAAGGGCCACAGGCCACTCACTACTCAGTACATTGCATAATGCAGATTGATACAATGACATTGCTAGGTTTAGGCTATGCTATGTGTACATACTTTGTTCAAATCCAACATTTCACTTATAATATATTGCACAGTTGCACTCAATGCAAAATGAAATTATGCACTCATTTATTCATTTTATTGCACTGTAATTTCAAGGTTCATTATTCGTTCATATTAATATTGGACTTTGTAGCCTCAGTTTCACACCCAANGGTATGTCGGTGAGCTGTCTCTTATACACATCTAGATGTGTATAAGAGACAGCGAGATAAGAGAAACATGGCAATGTTAATAATGAATACATCAGATATAGGTTAAAATCAGCTAAATGGGAGAAGGCAGTAAGGGATGTGCTAAAACCTAGCTCAATTATGCTCCCTGCAACAATGTTATATTATTTTATTATTGCTTGATTCTCTATGCCGAGATGCTCCTTTGGCCTTCATTCTGAATTCAAAATTTAGCCGAAATTAGGAGGTTCGGTCCGGTCCGCTAGTTTAATGAAGTTACAGTTTTTAGGAAATTAATCAGTTGCATTTGAACGTCTCTTATGAACGACATCAATCTTTTTTAAATTTTGTTCATTTTGAATTATTACAATAGATAAATGAAATAATAAAAAGAACTTACGGCGAAGTGTGAAGTCAGACTTTAGAAAGTGGTATTTTAGCGAGTATAAACAGTGGCATGAATCATGATAGCTGTTGTTGTTAGGTTAACTTTGCTGTGCCATCATTGCCATGGCCCATCGGAGATACTAGGCAGCTACGCAGTGTTGACAAAACATTTCTTAAATATAGAAAACGATGTTCATCGTAAATGTAAAGCAGTAACTGTAACATTTATCGATGTGCTAAATTTTAGGCGTAACTGACACAAATGAAGCGAAATTGTAAATATTTATATGATATAAACATTTTCGTCTATATATAGCCACTGATTTTAATGCAAATACTTAAAACTTCTGTAGATCAACTGCAAGCAAAGTGAAGTTTTTACGTAGCATTGCTTAGTTTTATAAACTTTTGTTTCTGATCATCTGTTTAATCATATTTGTAATAATTTTTGTTGTTGTTTCTTTGCAGGCGTAGTGATGGCACAGCCAGGAATGCTTGGCGAGCTTTTTCGTGACGAGGGCATTCTGCAGCCAATAGTTTTCAGAAAGTTTCACGCACCTTCTACCTCAATGAATATAAAACAAAATTGGGAATGCATTAGTTGGAGCATCGAGGAATGGTCGAAACATTTTAGTGATGAACCACTCAAAGTGAGAATGGGCCTACGCACTTCAGCATCATCAGGACCTCAGTGGGAGAGCCGATGTGTTACTTCGTTCCTCACATTTGAAGAACTGTCAAAATGGGACGAAGTCATCACGCATCGTAAGGCGACCAATGGAGAAACTATCACCTCCCTTTCACATTGGGCATACTTCGATTATGTCCATCTCAAAGAACAGAAGAAACTCGAATTCTTGAAGGAATGTATCAGCTGGGAAAAGTTTGGCTATAAAGGCCGAGGTGCTGACGAAAGTACAGTGTGGATAGGAACTAAAGGAGCTCACACGCCATGCCACATTGATACCTACGGTTGTAATTTGGTTACTCAAGTTCTTGGTGCTAAAAAATGGACCCTCTTCCCTCCACAACAAAGTGAATGCTTATATCCTACTCGCATCCCTTACGAAGAATCCAGCATCTACAGTCAAATAGACTTCAAAAACGTTGACATCAATCGATTCCCGAAGATACAAAATTCAACTCCGTTTGTTGTTACTTTGAACCCGGGTGACGTTTTGTTTGTGCCAAAACATTGGTGGCATTTTGTGGAAACTGAACAATTTTCTATCAGCGTAAATTCATGGATAGAATTGCCATCGGATACCAAAGACCAGCTAAAAGAAGCTCTCGTGCTGCAACAAATTGGAAGCGTGTGCCAGGCGGTTAGTTCCGCTGACAAGCTCACAAAAATACTTAATCCTAACATGCTGTACATTGTAACTCTTACAAGTGAGGAACTTTTTGCGATCGTTTCCCAAAGAATTGCGGCTTTGAAGAACAAACACCACTCATCGACAGGGTTTGATCATACGATGGAGCCATCTGAAACCTCCGGCTCCAAACCAGATTTGAGCCTGTCTCTCCCTTACACAGTTTTGAAATCGATTCCATTTCAAGATTTTCTTCTAACATCCCAACTGAGAGGTTCGCTTGATGGAGGTAACTTGGCAAGCCACCACCCTCCCTCAACTCCTGAAGAAAGCGAAACCGTTGAAGAGCTCTTGATAAGATCTTTGAGTGACCAACGAGTCATTGACGTAGCTACCGACGTCCTCATGGAAAATTTAAGAACTCTACACAATCGCGTACTTTGAAAACTATGCAACTTCATGCCAAATTTTTTTAGGAAACCTTTGACACATGATCGTTTTGCAACGTATCGTGTATTGTATGAATAATTTGGCAATTGGCAGTAAAATTAATGTTAGTCATTTTCTTCCCTAGTTTTGTTTGTCAATAAACTTCATCAAAACCCATTTGTGTTTTACTCTATATCATTAGTATTATTCGATCAAATATTGGAAACTAAAACATGTAAAGTAAAAATATCTTCCCTTGTGATCATCAGTACTGGCTGCCACAATTGGCCCTATCTACTACCGACCCGTGCTAAGGCTGGTACGACACGCTCAATTATGATACGTTCGTTATGAATGGAAAGTTTTACAGAATATTTTTTCACCTGCCATGCACCACGAAATATGCCTCTTAACGTAACTGTGTTGGCACTAAATATCGCCTTGTTCTAGACTCATGAGTCTAGACCATTAATCCTCTATTTATCTTCCATAGAAATTAAATAGTTGTTTGAGCCTCGAATCATACTGTTAATAGTATGTCTCGTATCGTTCACATCTACAAATGTGTCCCATATTGTTTCTTAATATCCGGGACACAAGTTATGTCCTGATCCATGCCTTCTTTTTGGAAGAAATTTTTTACTTTCTCTCGATAATCTTTTCCGGCCTTTCTGTTCTCGTCTCGTTGTCCAGACTAATTTCTAGACAACTATTGAAAACAGCTGGACTGTCGGTGAGCATTCCAATGTCTGTTTCAGTTATTCTTAACGTGAATATGTTATCGCTCTGTATTAACAGCCCGGCCTCCTTGCCGATTCTGACCAGAAACTGGCGCACAGATCTGGGATCGATCCCGCGCCTCTCTGCGCCAGTCATGGTACTCAGCTGCTGAACTTTAATCACTGGGCCATCATTTGAGGAAGAATCATATCCAACAATTTAAATACGTTATCTGAAAATTTTTGTTAATGATTGAAATTGATTGATTGACGTTCGAGTACTTGTACAGTTCTGACAAGCAATTTTTAGCGCATTAAAATGAGCGTCATTTCAGAATTTCAAGATTGGAGGACTTGTCTTGAATAATGCAATGGCGAGGTTCATTCAACTGCAGAATATTGAATACTAGTGTGAAGAGGACGTGAAATTAACTAATTAATTGTAGTTATCCTAACTAGTTATCTTCAGGTTAAGGATCTCATTATAATTTCCACTCTTACATGAGGTCGCTCGGTCTCACTCAACCGCTCGATTTTTGTTACTATTGATTTCGCTCGGCAAAATGAAGCGTTTTTCCCTTTTCACATTTTCGGCCGTCCTTAGTTCATTTTAATTTAATTAAACGACCGGCTTTTTTCACCTCAAATAATTAAACGATTGGCCTGGTGCCATTATTTTGTATCAAATTTAATATAATCATTGGAGTGATTCTATAAGCTTGATTTATATCCGCCTACAGAATGCTTTATTTTTGATGTCGAAATAACTCATGACTGACAAGTTGTTAAAGACTGTACAATGACGTCAAGAATTCCATGGTGAGAGATCGGTATTCACACCTGCACTGATATCGCCACTCTCGACCTCTGAACAGCTGCCACACTTCAACAGGTGCCATGCTTCAACAGGTGCCATGCTTCAACAGGTGCCATACTTCAGCAGGTGCCATGCTTCAACAGGTGTCATGCTTCAACGATCTCTCTAATTTTCTCAGATTCGCTCGTGACTCAAACTTGAAAAGGTCACACAAGCTTTAAGCACGTCATGCTTTCCCAAAGGGATCTCGAGGCGGTCAAGACAATTTTAATAAGAGACCAGGGACTGCGCTTTGGGTAATTGACTTGGGAGCCGCGGCGCAGTCAACTGCCGGCTGCGCAGGCGGCGCAGTCAACTGACGGCGGCGCAGTCAACTGCCGGCTGCGCAGGCGGCGCAGTCAACTGACGGCGGCGCAGTCAACTGACGGCGGCATAGGCGGCGCAGTCAAGTGACGGCGGCGCAGTCAACTGACGGCGGCACAGGCGGCGCAGTCAAGTGACGGCGGCATCACAAAGCAATGTTCCGTCATATTTCCTCTCAACGAAGATCTGTAACATTTCCTCTTGAGTACCGGGCATCGCGGAGGGATGTTTTATGTATATTGACTATTTCATATCATAGAATCGCGGTGAATAATTCCATCAATAATTAATTATTCAAGGTCATCGTGGAGCCACATAACGCATGGCCGGCGGCCTTTTACTCCAATAAGAGCATCAAAGTTAAGCTTCATGTCCGTCACTATTTACATCTGTCCAGATGATATGTACATAAATAGAGAACTAATAAGGAATTATTATGGTAATATTGGATTGTCCAAAATTATCTATTTTGCTTCATTCTATTGTTCACGTCTGGACGTATTGTCATTAATTGTAGGTCTGATATTTTAATGTAGTTTAGTATATCAAATAGAGAGAAGAGCTATTGGTACCAATGCGCTCGGCAGACCATTTTTGATGGCGTTTATCCGTAGAGTTTCGTGACATCATTTCATGAAACAATCTCAAATTCATACTCATACAAATTCTTGCTCAATGTTTCTTTATTAAAAAACGGGTATTTAATTGTCGTTTAGTAGTGGATCAGGATTTAGCATCATTTAATCCTAAGGTACACTGTATATAGAATGCCGACTTAATGCTACTAATAAATAGCTGTTGGTCTTGTATATGAGTGTCGGTTTCCGGCCATTTCATAGCATAACATTTTCGAATATAAAGACGATAGCTTCATACAAGACCGCCTTTGATAAGACTCGGCATCCATGTGGCATTAACGTTGCCGTTATAACCACACACATACTGTAAGTTGAACGTGACTGCAAACTGCGTCGTCTAAGAATTTTCCAAGCATAGAAAGCCTAAGATAAGTAATTAATAACAAGGAAATACTGTAAGAAAGATATGTATATAGTTACTTTTTACATGGGAAATTTATCGATTTTTGATAAAAAATAATAAGGTGATATTTTACATAATATATTTGTGTAAACGATCTTACACGAGCTCAATATACCATTAAATATGTTTAAATTCAAGTGAACTTGCGAACTAAAACGTCGGAACGTGCATTGCATATACGTAGCGTTCTTCACTGAGAGTATGAGGTGTTAGAAATAACTGATCATTAGTCAGGTATCAACCACGCTCACCGGGAGAATGATCAATTTGGGAACGTTTGGGAATTGTTTGTTTGATAATTTTTAAAAAAATCCCTGACATGAAGAGACATCGTCCATATGCAGGAGCATATGTTCAGTCTTAAAATGCCTATCAAATTACGGAGCAGGCAATAAGTCCNATACATTCAGGGCAACATTCTATATACTGAAATGGCAATACATTCAGAGCAACATTCTATATACTGAAATGGCAATACATTCAGAGCAACATTCTATATACTGAAATGGCAATACATTCAGTGCAACATTCTATATACTCAAATGACAATAAATTCAATGCAACATTCCATATTCTATGATACTCATCACTATGACCGTGAGCTGGATGCAGCTATCATCGATAATCTCAGCGGTTCGAAAATCATTGAAGAATTCCAGCATTAAAAGGCAAATTTTCCGCGTCATTTAGGCTATGCAAAATATATTGTCGGTAATTCTGCCTTCATATATGCTTACGTTATTGATCATTATTTTGTTTGTTCTGACTCAGTAAACTATTTGCAGTCTTCATAATAATCACGCGTTAATAAATTACAATTATTCATAACTGAGGAAATGCTACTAAATCATTTTGAAGAACGCATTCTTTCATCCCTGAGATTGCAGGTGTGAGGTGTGAGCCTGAATTCCGAGATGAGCAGAGAGATCAGACAGAGCACATGTGCGATGTGCAGAGATCCATCAGAGCACATGTGCGATGCGCAGAGATCCATCAGAGTCCATCAGAGCACATGTGCGATGTGCAGAGATCCATCAGAGCACATGTGCGATGTGCAGAGATCCATCAGAGCACATGTGCGACATATAAAATGAATTGGAGTGCAATATTTTGTTAAAAATACATTAAATTCTAAGAATTTTCCAGCACATTTGCATGAGAATTCGTCTCCTTAACAAATGAGCATCAAATTTTATTAAATTGTACTTAATAATGTCAGATGGTGTGAAACACCGTAACACGTGCCTCAATAGAAACACTTGTGAAAAACCAATGAGTTCGACAAAGACTATAATGTTTTCGGTTAACAACAAAAGCCAAACCTACATTGAATACAAAAATGTAGCTGGAAGTTAGGCACATGATCATTCACATTATTATTATAATTTAATTCTCACAACATTCATTTAACCGTTTTAACTTATTCAATTCATGTCACGACACCTGTGCTGTGATTTGTGAACGTACCTTTGGGGCTGCAATGGTACGTTCTCCCATACTTTCAATGGAAAAAGTCTTAGACTTTCCAATAAAATGCACGATTGCAAGTTTTTTTTAATTAAATAGTGTATCCTATTAGTAGTTTTTTTCAATCATTTCTATTCATTTCGCATTGAGTTTTTCGGATCTAGCTCTACCTTAAAACAATAATTTTTATTTGTAGTTTTCAAAAGGATATTGTTCGGATTTTATTATTTCGGAATAATAAAAGTACATATGCAAGAAAATTACCATGTAAAATAAAGCGTTAAAATAAACCAGTGAAGGCAAGCTGCATTGGTACCTCCTGAGCCAAAATTCCACATTATACAGTAGGCCTCCCTAACTATTCGCATTTTTCGACCATGAATCCTTCATTAGTTTTCCGTTCAAGATTGTTCTTAGATTTGTAACACTTGCGCAGGCCTCTAAATAATAAAATAAAATGAATGCAGTATGCTACACTTGTGAACACGGTTCACTGGCGTGCCAACTCTCACGGCAACAGTGTCTTGGCACCGCGCTGCTCCGCAAGGAATTCGAAACTTTGTAGCACTCGAGCTTCCGTGATTTCGGGAAACATGGCGTCAGGGCGTCTAGCCTATTTTGGCTTTTTCTTGCTAATTAAAGTCATCACGGAGGTATGTAAACTAAAATTTAATTATTTTTAAACATTGTTAGTGGTCATAAAATTATAAGTTTATTGTGTTGATTTTATTTTTAAAATTTATTTATTGTGGAAATTTTGGCACGGATCTAGTCGAAAACCTTCGTTACTAATTAATTATTGATATGCGGATTGAGTAGTTTTCAGGAGTTTTTAGAAAATTTGATTGCTGATGTTGTTTTTTTATAAACTTTGCCAATAAATAATAAGTTTCGATTCGTTCATTTACTTACTCTAATTAATTTGTGTCCTGTCTGTTGATTATACCTATAGAGACTTATATATGTATTTTTTTTCTGCAGGTCGACAGTCTTCATGGAGATTTCAGTTTTGTGAGTTCATGTCAATTTCTCGAGATTAAAGATTGTGAAATATTTGTATGAATTTTTTTGCTCAATCTTATTCACAGAAACTTTAAATCGACTATTAAAAGTTTACACAACAAAAAATAATATCACATTAAACATGCCTATATCATTGAATGAATGTACAGGGATATATGAACATGAATTAATCGTTCATAAATGATCATTTATTCGTACTGTAACCTTTGCAGCACTAATTCACTCCGTCAACGTAAATTATTGAACTTTTACTTATCTAATATCTAGTCTACTATCTTATCTAATAATATATCTAAACTTTATACTTATCTAATATCTTATGTGTTGCGAGGCTACTCTCTTGAGGAGTGGTTCATTGCAGGTCCATCTTACTTCAAAATCGTGATATTTTCATATTGGTATATCATATTGCTGATGTTGAGTGTTATGTTATTTGAAATTATAATATTTGTATTGCTCGAGCGTTACATTCATTTAAATAAAACAGTAACCACACCAGAATATTGTTATCGTACTCATTAGTTTGCATGTGGTTAATAAATATCAAGGAATAAAATTTGGAATTTGGAGGGAGTGCTCTATCACCATTACCAAATTTATCTACCGTTAATGCCACTAACTTCGCCTCAGCACTTATGTCGCCTGCCATCAAAAGAAACAGTCTATTTTATTAACAAAATTGAGCCACAACTTTCTAGCGCGATCGAAAAAGCATCTTAATTACTCGTACTATTTAACGATCGAACCATAAACATCGTAATTTTGAAGAGCTTTATATATTTATTGATGAGCGGCGAGTTAAGTGCAGTAGCTGCTGATCGAGTGGCGACTTATGCATGTGGAATTGATGGTAGATATTGTGCAATGGACAATGAACAATGGCTTGACAGCCATTAATACATGAATGAGTTTATTTAATGAATGATAGAACTGTTGGTATTTACTGTCAGCTAATTCGTAGTCATATTCTAAGATTTATTTTATTAAGAAAAGCGAGTTCTAAAAAAAGTTGGTAAGCGTATCACACAAAGTATTTATACTGTGAAGTGGATGAACAGGGTCTATAATTTGATTTCATCATACTGTTTATGGTACGTGTTCAATTGAATATGGTTATGACTCCTGATAAATGGCGAGCGGTCTGTCGCCGACATCCTTTTACTTATTTGTAAATGTAAAGGATTTTTTCCTTAACTAAGGTATCCTTTTTACCAAGCTAAAGAGGATACCATGTTATACCTCCGTTTCTTTGCGACCCATGTCACAACGTACGGCAATCCCAAAGTTATTCGTTTTGCCTACTTCGAATTGAATATCTTATTAATGCATATCAAATCTCGCAATGAATAATGAATCTTTCTCATGATTAATGTTGCCATCAATTTGAATGCCTTGCTTTAGTCTATCGTACTCCTGAAAGGCAGCTTTTCAAAATTTTACGTGGAAGCAAGCTTTTATGTCTCTGACCGACAATGAACGTTTATGCTGATAACGCTTCAGCTCAATTGCAGGAAGCGCTGAAAGTGAAACATAGTCGATCGAGTGATGAATAACTTCTTTTATTTGATGACACTATAAATGACACCCTTCCAAGTCGCAGACGCTAAATACGCATGATTTTAATAAGCATTTTTGCAATGCTATTGTTCCCTCGTTTAGGATCGAATATTGTCGAGACGGACACTGATTCAGATGTGTCGGGCAAGGTGATTTTTTTATTTCTAATAGGGTTGTTTTCAGTTACTAGGGGATAGAAAAAATTGTATTCTTCAATTAGAGGGAGAGGTGCAAAATGCGATGTGTTCGAATATTTTGCTCAATCTTATTCACTGAAACTTGGAGTCGACTATTAAATAGTAGTAAACAAGCATATATATATCGTTGAATGAATATTAAGTGAAAAACGAATTTAGCATGAATTAATCGTCCGCAGTACCAAGGTCGCCAAAATGATAATTTATTCATATTGTACCTTTAAAGCATTAATTTGCTCCGACAAAGTAAATGAATGAAGTGTTGATGAACTTCAATAAAATGAATTTTACGTATTCGAAGTGTTGCGAGGCTACTCCCTTCAGGAGTAATTCATTATGGTCCAGATCGTAATTCAAATCGTGATATTTCCAGATAGGTATATCATATTGCTGTTGTTGATTGTTGTGTTGGTTTGAAATTATAATATTGGTATTTCTCGAGCGTTAAATTTATTTAAATAGAACAGCAACCACACCAGAATATTGTAGCCGTAGTAATTAGTTTACAGGTGGTTAGGAATTATCCAGGAATAAATTCTGGAGGGAGTGCTATATCACCATCACCAAATTTATCTACCGTTAATGCTAACTTAACTTCGCCTCAGCACTTATGTCGCCTGCCATTATAAGAAACTGTTTATTTTGTTAACGCTTCAGCTCAATATTGCAGGAGGAGCTGAAAGTGAAACATAGTCGAATGAATGATGAATAACACTCGCTTTACAATACTTCACTGAATAACTTTTATTTGATAACACTCCAAAAGCCACCCTTAATTATAAGTCGCGGACGCTAAATACGCATGATTTTAATAGGCACGTTTGCAATGTTATTTTTCCCTCGTTTATGATAGAATAAGGTCGAGACGGATACTGATTCAGATGTGTCAGGCAAGGTGATTTTTTGGGTTCTAATAGGATTGTTTTCAGTCACAAGGTGCGTGAAACAAATTGTATTATTCAATTAGAGGGAGAAGAGCACAATGTAAATGTTTACAGTTTATGAATGTAAATTGAGATCTCATAACACAGGAGCCGGCGGAGACCAGCAGATGGCTGCTGCCCGTGGCGAACGTTCCAGTCAACGGCCCCAGGCAGGTCATGGTTAGTAAATGGGCAAGGATTTAACAAAAATTTTTTATTCAAACGCATACTCAATTGTAAGTTTTGGTAAAATTTATAATTTTTATTGACATTTTTTGACAATTTGCAACTAATGTTCCTCTATTGAAATTCTATCAGTGATGCTTGCATTTGAGAAATAATTCTACGCATATTAAACGTAATATTTAAAAAAATTTTAACGAATTTTTTTTCGTTTCTTGCAGCCTGTAGGTCCTTACGGAGCCGTCTTGGTAAGTCTTTCCCAGCCATGTATTTTTAACATCATTATAACTTGCTTTTTAGAAGTGAAGAGAATATTAAATAATACGATGGGAGGTCATAAAGAATTTATACCGGCATAACAAGCCTTCGATTTGCACTTCTGGATTGGTTGCAGAAAGGAAATTTTCAAATAAAAATTTGAAAGTATATATAAAACTGCGTTTTCATAGAACATAAAATCGGGTGATACAGCAAATTACTGTGCTCTCAATTTAACTGCATGTAGGACTCATACATAACAATAATACAATATTACCACGAAGTTTTGTGAGATAAAATGGATTGGATGATAACGCTCTGAAATCTACTTGATATTTGTGAGTAATTTTTGATAGATTCGAAAAAGTTTGTCAGCAAATCTGCACGAAACTCGTTAACTATAGCAAGGACAAAATTAGACATACTTTTTAAAGATTATTATTAACACGGTAGGCTCTCTATTCCAGCAACATGACCGAGGCTACTACGTAGACGTTTGCATGCAACCTAAATTGGAACTGAAGGCGGAATTCAAGCAGATTCAACTACTGGGCTCCAGCGTTTACCATCGCTTGAATATCAAGAAAAATACACTGATGTGCATACTGAAATTTTGGCAGCCAAGTGACAATGGAAAACAAGATATTTTAAACTGCCTCAAAACAACCGTGAACGAAGGTGAGGCGCCATGTGTTCAGTATTTAAAGATGCAGAGTTTCACATATTCAGAGATTTTGTTGAATTTATTTGGTCAATTTTAGTAATTTTATTAATTTGCAGACGCGGCAACTAGACAGAAAACTTTCCATCATGACATAAGTTTGCTTAATATGATAGGTAGCGATCACTCACAAAGTTAGTGAACATGAAAAAGCCCTTTTTTCATTTCAAGCAATGTAATTATAATGAATATTTCGTTCGACGAACTGACTAAATAACTGCCCGTAAATGATTTAAAGCGACGAAACTGATGTCACGCGAAAGCAGTTCAAATTTTTCGGTGATTAGCGTTGCTCATATTTTGTTTCGTTTTGAAAGAATGTAAAACACGAAGCTTTTTCTTTGTCACGGTTTTATTAGGTATTTTCTTGATGACGATGATCCTTATCACATTCTTATCGGAACCTTAAAACCATCAGAACGTCACTATATATCTTATAATCCATCGTACGTCATTAGATTCGTTGAAATTCGTACGTCATTAGGGAATTGTAAAATTCCATAAGGGATTTTTCAATCCTTCATACGTTAGAAGGTGTGTTAAAATGTGTCGTCGGTGCGTCCCAACCGTTTGTATTCATTAGGTAGCTCAACCCTTCATTTGCCTGTTGTCGTTACACACCAACAATTTATACTTTATTCGGTATAACCTCCTAACTTTTACATCATTAGGCAAGTACATTATTACAAGATTGCCCTCATAACCGGATTGCTTGCCTCCGTTTTAACTTCAAATACTTCAATTACATCATCACCGATGTGTCAGGCTATGTTTAACACAACTTTCAGTTCACGGAATTCGAAACAGGATTCACTATTACCTATGAATCGCTATTTACTTGTTTATATTAATCTAAACATTGCTTGCGTTGCAGGCAAGCCATCACTTATTGTGTGTTCGATATTTAGTTCTCAATACAAAACTCCGCAGATCACGAAGTGTTCTACATCATGGATGACGGCATTTGCAAGTCTTTCCCGGCCACATTTCCTGTCTCTTGCTGGCAATGTCCTGTTGACGAAAATGATGCAACATACACGCAAATCTACTCAACGAACGCTGCATCTTCTTTTAAACGAGTTGGTCAGTGTCATCTACTGGTATATTCTGTTCTATTGGAATTTTCAAATTCTAATATTTTGCATAAAAATTTTCGAATCATTGCCTGCATGACGAGTTTATACACGTATACAAAGTTAGTCTTCCGTTCGACAAACAGTCGTAGAAAATAATTCAATTAACATCGGACCATTTTCTATTTTTGCAGATTCACATTTTGACGACTTTCGGGTCGAAAAAGTGACTGGTGGCGACTACATTGTTTCGTTTGACGATCCTGATGCGTGCGCCGATTATGCGGACTATTACGTCACGTACACTGGTGGTAAACAACTGGCCGTTACTAACGGCGGGACGATCCCTGCAAACTTATTCCAACCGTGCACGCTGGTTAACTTCACACTTCACCGAAACATTGATTGCCTTCCACCAAACTTGGTACATACCCTCGATACATCTATCATCTCTCCTCCCGGTGAGTGATGCACTCTGACATTGTTACCTCTCGTACCTTAAACCGTGATGAATTCATGTGAAATTAAAATGCGTTTTGTTTTATTTAAGAAAACGCTTTAAACTGCTAATTAATTATTGATGAAATTTTATTTAATTTCCTTTAACTAAATAGAATTTGATAAGAATGATTCAATGAGAGGTGAAGCTGAACAAAGATAACCTAGAAAATAAATATATCGAAGTTGTTTAGTTGTGGAATTTCTACGTCGTGAAAATTGCCAAAAATCTTAATTTTCTTTGTCCAAATGTTGGATGAATATATGATCAATATGCAATGAATGTTTACAGATACATTCAGACTAGTAGAAACGGCGACCTCAGTGACCTTAACGACAAGCGTCGCTTGCCCCTATCTGGAATACAAAGTCGTCACGAAACCTACAAATGGAGCAGCAACCCCGCTCGCCTCCGGCTCAACCGTGACTTCCAAGACATTCCTGAAAAGCGAAATCGGCACTGGTAAACTCGTCATTACGTTCCGGTCGTACACAGACATCGAGATCCCCCCAAAACTGGAATGGCCGACAGCTTAAGAGGCATCATCTCATGCATGATTGCATCTGAAGGCCAACTGAAAAGCTACATCAAGTAGTGCGACCAGGACATGCATGAGTGAAATTATAATGGAAACTGGCTCAAAACTTACGAGCCACAGCAAATAAAAAAGCGTTGATGATTTTTGCTATGGATACAGCGTTTTTATTATAGATTACAATAAATTGCCGGAGGAACGTTTCCTTTCAACTAAAAGTGTGTTTCATTATTGGGATAAAATATTGTCAGTCAAGATCAATTTTGTTTCATTCGACAATCTCACCAATGACTGGTCTGTGTTGAATTCAATTATCATTTAGCTGTAGCTTTTTCCTCATTTTCTTCATTTGAACCTCACAACCAACTTGTTGACGATGGAAAAAAAATCATCCAACAATAACCGAAACAATGTAGTAATTTATATTAATTTTTTCTCCGAACGGCACTGGTACGAAGTTCTGTTAGCGGAATCCCGAGGCATGGATACGAGTATAAATTATTAACGCACTTCAAGTTAATTGTAAAGTCAGTTTTCGGGCAATGTGTATTGTATCGCAGATACTATCATAGCCTTCCTGGAGTCTTCAAACTCGTGTAAAAAAGCATGTAAACGTCATCAAATTTATTGGTATACGAGAAATGAGCGTAACTTAATTGTCCAAATAGCGAGGCACTATTTGCACGTATATGTGGGTACACTAAATTTAAGGAAGTAAATTTATAGACTTTGAATTTTGAATTGAATGCAATTAAGCACCCTTTGAAGACAACCAAAAATTAAATTAATTTTACCTGACATGGGTGAATAAAAGATAAAGTTTGTTAACAATCTGCGAACTCTATAAAAAATATTCATCCAAAAAATAATGCACTATATATTTAATAACTCAAACCACATCTTCTTCAATGGAAGGACCATCTCCATCATCTTCTGCTATGTCATCATCCTCTTCATCGTTATTGTTTGGTTGGTGCGTAACTGGCACAGCAATACTAGGTTCCTGTAACCCCTCCTCCTCCTCCTCGCCTTGGCCCTCGTCGTTGGCCAGCTGCGTAGTCTCCGTTGTAAGCAGCTCCCCCGCCTCATCGTCTTCCCCGTCCTCTGGGGCGTCGTGTTCTTCTAGGTCCGTACGGGGAGGTGGGGCTAGAAGACCTGGTGGGTCCGCAGGTTTGGCCTCCTCTTCCCCAGGCGCCGCGGGGCTTGACGTGTCGGCGACAGATTCATCCTGCACAATATTCGGTGTTCTCTAATTGAAATACTTCACAGCATGCCATGTTGCCGAGAATAAACGGTAAATTGAAAATACGGGATACATATAGCGAACTTTGTTTAGAGAAGCCATGATGGAAATTAGGACGTTTAAAGTCCCAACTAATTTGATTGAGCTGCGTAGTATGCGAAATATTGTGGACAGCAAAGCGAAAATGGACACGAATTCGCTTACGAAATTTCCCGCTATAGTGAAAACAAATTCATGTTTGGACCTTCATTCTCATACACAGCACGCGACGTATACACAATACGCATAAGTCGATACGTACTCATATGCAGGATACGTGCACATAGGTACGAAACTTATGGTACGAACAATCTTTTAGGTACGAACAAGCTTTTGATTTTTTTTTCAATGAGCCGAACAAAATTTCTTGCTGGCGTTGGAAGATCAAAAATCAGGTTACCGGACGAATTTTTAATGGAATGCGAAGTTTCGAATATACAATATTAACATCAAGCAGGTGAAGCTTTTGGAACACTTGGTTTCTGCAACTGCAGACTCGCTCTTGATAATAAATTTTACCAATAGGTACAATACGTGCACATGAGCACGACACGTACACAAAGGCTCGATAAACTATAGGGCGGTTAATGACGATAGAATTCACTGACCTAAATTTTTAGGGTCGAACAATTCTTCCGATGACGTTGATTGATAAATATGTAGGTTTAAGGAAGTAATTATAATTTATTAACGACGTTTCGACTGCGACATTTTGATCAACCAACGTCATCGGAAGAATTATCCGACCATGAAAATATAAATCAAAGAATTATATGGTCTTTAACCGCCTTAGTTTAAACAAACTAACTATGTCATCTAATACTAATAAAGGCTAGATGATTATACGTAGGCACGTGCACGTAAACACAATACGTACTTTTGTAGGTTCCACGACAGGTTGTGACGGGCGACCAGGCTTCTGGACGAGGCTAGACCCGTCCTGGCCCAGCTCCTGGGCCAGCCGCCGTCCAGCTTCCAGCACCTATAGAAAGGTCAATATTCTTTAATAGCATACAGTTGAAAATACAAAAATAGACACCGAAGATATAGTTTGAATACGATCGAACATATACGTATAAGATAGGGCGATCTGCAAGAATTAAGTGCAAAATTGGGAATACTCAAACAGAAATAAATAAAAATTTGACACTTTATGTAAGCTTTCAATCTACATCGCAAAAATTTTATAGTTTAAAATATTAGCACCTCATTTCTTTTACTTTGTTGACACAAACAAAAAAAGTATTTATCATAGTGAACCTCATTTGAGGCATCGTTGATATTGTTCAACTGCGCATTTTAAATCAATGAGAAAAAGAACACAATGCCGTCGATAGTTATATGCAAATCTGTTGCAACGAACACTTGTTCAGCTCACACTTGATGGAAATTTCTACACAAAATTGTGAATTGGACGCCAAAATATAACGATATTTTGCAATAAATTTATACGCAGCACCGAAGATCACCTAAAGGAAACGGTTTAATGAGAAAAATTGATTCTTCGCAAATTTATTTTTTAAAATTCCATCGGAACTGCAAACCATGAGGCGAATTAATAGCTTTATATGTGAACGCTATCGCCACTTGTATACATTCACAGAGGGCAGTACGAGTCTTTTCTTCATTAGGTGACTCATTGATGAAATAAATTGGCGAAACAAATTAGGACATTCAAAGAGTTTGTCGGGACTCCGTATCTCGTTGAAACCGCGCAATTTTGTGTTAATTTTGTCATAAAAACCGCTTTGAAAGTGACATTGTACAGAGAAGCATGCGCGGAAAGAATATTATGCAAATAAAACGCAAGTGCAAAATATTTCTCATGAATATTTCCTCACCCATTCCCTTGACAATGAAGTATTTATACTCTTGGTGAGTTAAATATAGGTTTATTAAACATATAATCTTAAGTTGATGTGATTCAAAATAATATGTCTGGTAACGTGTGAACTGAATTTGGACTAGAAAACGCTTTTAAATTACAGTGCGCAATAAGTCGCACGCAAAAAAATGATGGAAATAATGGGCCAGAGCATTCACTCAAAGCCTTGCTTTGTTGACCTTGCCGTAACATACGAGATAATTACATGCATGGAAGAGCATGGAATTACATGAAAAATGATCTAAATCGAATTTTATTAGCATGGGATCGTATTTATACGGAATCTACAATAGAATATGAATTGCTATTAAATGGAATAATAGTTATCCCATTCGCGAAAAATTCATATATCAACTAGACTACATTCCACATTAGAAATAAAATTAATTTATTTATTAATTCAGAATATCGTATTTTTACTTTAGTCATTAGCGATGCAAGGTATTTAATACCATCGCATGTCGATGCAAAGTATTTCATGCAATCGAATGTCAATGACTAATATTTTATGCAATTTAATTTCATTGTAATCGCATCTTGAGGTAAAGTATTTCATGCAATAGAATACAGAATATAATAAACTAATATTTTATGCAATTTAATTGTACTAAAAATATTTAATCCGACCTGGGAGTCGAGTTCCGTGTTCTGTCGCAATTTCACGACGCGGGCCTCGAACTGCGAGAACATCTTGAGTGCCTCGGCTCGGTCGCCCTGACGTACGAGGAACGTAGCAAAGTTCAGGCACACGCTTGGGTCTTTGGTCTCCAGAGTGACGGCCTGCTTGTAAGCCAGCCGGGCGTTCGATTCATCCTCTAACTGACTTAAAGTCACTGGAACAATAAAGGAATGATTAAGGTGACGTAGACATACATGTAAGTGTGCGGTAAAGCAAGAAATTCTATTTAATGGCAAAAATGACAATCTGGCACATGGATCGCATCAGGAAAAATAGCTTTATTACCCGCTAAAAGCATGAAAATTTGGCCCTTGGTAGGCTTCAAGTTTACGGCGGCTGACAGAAAATGGAACGCCGAGGTCGTCTGTTGCATGGTGAGGTGCACGAGTCCTAGGTTGTAGAGGACGCGCCACTCGAAGGGAGCTAAGTAGTTTGCTCGTTTCAAACAACTGATCGCCTGTTGAGAGATGAGGTATTTTCAAAACTTTTTATTAATCTTTAGTAATTCCAGGAGTTCAGCACATATTCACTTTCATTTCAAGTCGACAATCATCTAAGAAAACTTGAAATATCGTGCAATTATGAGCGAATGATTGATATTTTATCGCGTTCATTAATTCCATTGCGAATGTTACTTAAAGTATTCAATGCCGTCAAGAATATAGAGAGAACTTCGAGAGAATATCGAGAAGAATAAGTTTTCTTTTCATCTCATGAAATTGCGTCCAAAGATTTGACATTTGCGTACCGATCCCATCAAACATTCCCTTAGGTCAAAAGTAAGAAACCGTTTGTACGGAAGATGCACGGAAACTATTTCTGAATTTAAAATGTTTCGAATTCATGTGCTTTCGTATATTTGGAAAGATGCGCGAGCTGTATTCCTTACGGCAACATATTTTTTCTTGCCAAAGAAGCACATGGCAATGTTGTTCCAGAGTGCGGGGCTCTCAGGGATGGTTTGGGCGGCGATACGATACTTAGAGAGCGCGACGTCATAGTCTTGGTGGCTCTGCAAGTAAGAAAGTACGAGGTTGTAATATTACTGATAACAATACAACTTTTTAAAGTGCATGAGGCCGTTAAATGGATTTATTGCAGTCAAATAAATAATAAAATATTGATGAGTTATAGGAATTAACTTGCACACATCATACAAGGGAGTCCGGATAGACATTTAATATATTTTATAAGACGATGGAAAATGAAAAATCATCATAACATCCGTTCCATTTGCGACTTAAAGCATTTAAATAGAAACGGACTTTGATTTCATTTAATAAAAACAGTTTGGGAATCGACATAGAATATATTGGTATCAGCAAAAAGAAAATTCCCATGCACTGCGCAACTCTGTCTTCTTTTATACTCTTTCATAACTGCGATAAAGCACAAGTCTATGTCACAATGACACAACAGCAATCGCTTCTACTACGAAAATTTCATTTTGGTTGCAACGCTTCTATTTTCTGTTATTTGCTAATTATAAATAAGAGGCGCGCCTATTGAACTTGACGATGTAGTCTTGCATCGTAGTCAGAGATGCGGCTCTCTTGCCATCTTTTCTGATCAGAAATTCCTTATCACTTTTAAGTGGATTGTCCATGTACGGATTTTCAATGTACGTAAAGGAACATCAAGCCTTAAATTTCAATTAGTAAATTGCATTACACATTAACAGGCTAGCCCAACGTTGCTCGGGAAATGACGTGTTTATCCCATTAAATAATCATAAGATAGATATTTTTAATTAATATAAAATGATACTTTATACCTGCATCATTGCCCCAATAGCGAGCAGGGATGGACTGTGGTTGGGGTTGAAGGTGAGGGCGGCACCAAGCTGTTCGAAGGCCTGCTGTGACCTGCCAGTCTGCAGGAGCAGCCTCCCCAAGCTGCTGTGCAGGTCGCTGTTCTCTGGGAACTGCCTGCACAACGCAAATTACTTCAATCTTGAAGTTCTTAGTATTATTAAAGTGAGTACAAAGTAAAGTTGTAAGTATACAGTGATACTCTGAGAAATTACACTCTGATGAGTGTCATTTATCACGTCGTACTTGTACTGAACTTTAGAAATCTGTACGAGGATTTTGCTTTCATTTTATCAATTTTCGTTATTATTTGCAAATTCGAGTAATATTTTTGTTTGTAGGATATTTTTAGAAGTATTTGGAAAGCTTTGGAGTTTCGCTTTCTATTAACGACAAGTGGAAGCTTAGTAACAAATGAAACTGAGGAGCAACTAGGCTGAGTCCTCTATGTAGTTTGTTTAAAATGATAATAATAAAAAAATATTTATTCTCATCAAAAATTTCACGGGTATTCTATTTATGCTATGCAGGAAAGATTTTTACAGACATTTACAGGTCTGAAAGACATTTACAGGTATGAAACAGTATAATTATTTATACCAGCTCGACAATCCCGACCATGACAAGTACTGGTCACTCAAATTTTTAAGACTAATAGACCTCACTCGATGGCGGCTCGGTAGGTGGACACGGCGGCGGTCACGTCACTCTGCTGCAGGTAGACGCTGGCGAGGGCTTTGAAGACCTCGTGGTGGCGGTGCAGTTGTAGCGCCTGCTGCAGCTCCTGCTTCGCCGCCTCAAGCTGACCCGTGCGCTGGTAACAAATGCCTGTCAAATGGCGTTGCTTTAATAAGAGTTTGTCTTGATTTAAGAAGAAGAAAATTTCAGTGGCAATAAAAGGTACAGATACACGAAATTATGTTTTTTTTTTAATTTCAAACATCATTAGGAGGAATGCGCTGATTACAAATGCCTGCAGAATGTCATTTCGATAATGAGAGATTACTTCCATTTAAGTAGGAGAACATTTCAGCGGCAATAATAGTCACAGAGAAACGAAAGTGTGGTGAAATTCAAACCTCATTAGGAGAACTGATCCTTTTATTTTAATTTAATTCTTCCTGTAAGAATAGACTTACCAAGATTGTAATTAATCTCCCAGTCAGGTTTTTCGCTATTGTTCCCTGCTTGCTTGTAAGCTTCAATGGCTCTGCTGTGTCGTCCCAAAAGAAATCTGGATAGATTTTTCTACGTTAATCACGTTGAAATCTGATTAGCCTTCATAAATGTGTTGGTCCGCTTAAGTGGACAAGAATTAAATATAATCTAGAATAATCTCAAATGGGATACTTAAAGTCACTTCGTTGAATGAATTTGTTATTTCGGAAGGTAGAGCTGCCTGAGGACATTCAAGGAATTCAATCATGAACTAGCCATATATGTTCGAATATAAGTACTTATATCATTAGTCAACTTAACAACACAAGATAAATGAACATCAAAACATGTCACATTATTATTATTCTACAAAGCAGTTATCGTGGCGTCTAGTTCAAGCGAATTTCGAGGGCACGTTGTATTCAAGTTTAATAGCAAGCGAAAAATATTTAGACATTAGAAAATGTGAGAACGGATATAAATGACCAAGCACTTGATTCATAGGCTCTGCGATAGAGTTCCGTTTTTGGACGGAGACGAAACACCTGCAACGAAGAAGCCAATGTTACGAAAGCCGGTAGACTATTCCAGGTTCTGGCGGCGGTACCGGGAACGCTCTGTCGCCGACGGTATATAGACGTGCAAATGGAAAGACGAAGTCCGCTGTTTATGACGAACACAGTCGTCTTCTAGAAGGCAGATCTGATACGCGATGCAGACATTTCGTGAGATAAGGAGGCGCCAGACCGTAAAGGCATCGGAACGTCAGAACAGAGACCTTGAACTGCGTGCGCTGTTGCATGCGCAGCCAATGAAGGTCGCGACCAAATTTTCGCTTTTTGCACCCAAGTCTCGCAGCAGCGTTCATCACGGATTGCACTTTATTAAGTGCCGTAATCGGAAGTCCATAGAGGGTGGCATTACCATTGTCCTATCTGATCATAACGAGCGCCACCACGAGGGCCTCTAGGACTGACGCTACGTATTCGTCGCAGAGTCCCAAAACAAGCGGTTTGACTTAGGCAATATGATTATTCATAGAAAGTTTCGAGTTCAGAAGAGTGCCAAGGTTTCAAACCGCAGACGCCGACATGACGAACTCGTTGCCCACGAGAAGAGGGTTGGCCGGATGCGCGGAGCTGATGTCGATGCTGGAAACAGAGCTGGTGCTGATAAAAAGCAGTCGCAAATCAAATAAAGTCGTTTTTTTTATTCAGTGAGCTGGAGCCGGTTGGAGTGTATCCAGTCTGAGACTGCTTCTACGCAGACAACCATCAAGTCTTGCGATGCTGCAGCGTCAGCCGACGCACAGTAATCATACATATGGGTGTTGTCGGGGAACATATGCGGATTCAAACTATGTGAATCAATTATGTGCAACACGTCGACAGTATAGAACAGAAAGAGGATCGGGCCGAGGACTGATCTCTCTGAGGTACGCCGCAAGTGACCAACGATGGCGTAGAAAAAGAGTTCCCGCGTCGAACGCACTGAAACTATTCCTGAGATAGGACTCGAACCACCGCAGCAATGTGCCACGCAGGCCGAATGATGCGTCAAGTCGACGCAACAAAGTGGCGTGGTCGACCGTGTCAATCCGTCGAATGGAGATGACGGTATGCAGACTGGAAGCGAAGCATGAGAGTGGACTGCTGTAGATGGTTATTGAGCTGTCGGGCCACAATGCTTTCCACGAGTTTCAACGAAATTGTCAGGTTGGAGATGGGTCAATATGATTTAGGATCAGAAGCATTAAGGAATTTTTTTCCATAGAGGCGTAATGTAAGCTGATTTGAAGTTTTCTGGGACAAAACCGTCAGTGAGGCAGCGGTTAAAAAGTTCGACCAGAAAAGGTGCTTGGGTTACAACATTCCCTTTAAGTAAAGACGTCGGCAACGGATCGCTGGCACACTGAGCGCGCGCACTGCAGCGATGACATCGTCAGCTGTGACTCAACTGAATTCTTGGAGCACGCAGTCGAACAGGCACGGCAAAAATATTGCCAACGGAGCATCAGCTGACGACGCTCGCATAGCAGAGAATTTGTTTTAAAAAATTGCATGAAATTCCTTCACGCTTACGTTACCCGAAGACTCTGTATGACCGCTTCCTATAAGTTTATCCAGCGAACGCCACAGCGCTCGAGGGTCGCTACGTGGCGCTTCGACTCTCTGGTGCCAAAATGAATTTCTTTTAGATCGAAGAAGTTCGACATAATTGCGCCGTGTATCTCGCTAGGTGGAGGCCACAACATCAGCAGGTGGAGGCCACAACATCGCTCGGTGCAGCAGCAGGATTGCCGCGTCGTTCGTCCGGTAGACAGCCCGCTGGAGCAGTTGAACCCCTCGCTTCAAGACCCGACATTCATCGTCAAGCCATGGATTGGAGACTCGTTGGGGTACTAGAATTGTGCGTGCAAGAATGACGTCACCAAGTGCACAGGTCAGCTCGGTATTGTAGAGTTGCACTTGGTCGTAGATTGATAGTGCCAAAAATGAGTTAGGCCGACATATATATAGTCGGGACGACTGCAGTTTTTCGCGTAAGACATCGCCGTCGAGACCGTGCCACGAACGACTGGTAGATTTTGTACACTGGCACATGACGCACACATGGCAACTTCCACTGTAGTAGTCGATGGTCGGATATTACGATCTCGATGATGTCGACTGTCCGAATTTGGCGATCAGCACGCGTGATGACAACGTCTAACAATCTGTTCATGGCAAGCTTCGGCAAGGTCACGCGGCAAACCATGCCAAAGGTGAACAACAGGTCGTTCAACGTACGCGCCAATGGGTCGATGATATTACTGCTTCATATTGGCAAATTATGCACGATTTTATTGTATCCAATAACATATACTTACAACGATCTCGCCATTTGCTTTAGGTTCTGCACGCTCTTCGGGTTGAGGACGTTGCAAAGCTGGAACAGCTCCAGGGACTCGTGTATTTTGCCTTGATGACGAAGGATCAAGGCCTGTCGGTGTAACATGCTTCTGGTTTAGTAAAAAAATGGATCACACTCCATCACATTGAAATTTGATTTTGCTTCGGATTTATGAATGACAAACAATAATTTTGTACTTGGCCTCAAGCCTATTTGAAGCCTACGTATTTCAATGAAGCGTAGACGTTTTATGCCTGAGAAAATAACAAAAGTTTTAGCAACAAACGTGGCGGTAACTGACCAGGCTCTATCATGTTTATTTAAAATGTGAAATTCTGCACTTATATATTAGTAAACTGCACGCAGGCAATGAAGATGTCAAAAAGTCCACTCGCTACAAACCCCAACGCTAACCAATGCTGTCGATGCATGATAGACGTGCTAGAATACAAGGAGAAAATTCTGGAAGCTTCTCCTTGCACTACCACATTCCTATCCAGCCAAATTTCATTTCATTATCAGTATAATATTTATTGATTAACCATGAATACGGTGCAAAAAATCCAGTCGTCATTGTTTCCGGACATGAAACAGAATAGTTTTCGTATTATCAAGCAAGAACTATGAACGGACGTAACTTTTGTATTGCCAAGTAAGTACAACTCGTACATTCATTACCTGCACATAATTGGCGTACTCGCACATGCCGCGAGTCTCGGCAAGCAGCTCCTTCGTCAGCCTGAGGCAGTCGTCGTACTCGCATCGCACGTAGTGTAGGTGGACCAGCCAGTTACGTCGGTCTACGCTCCCCAGCTCCGGGGCTGCGTAGTGAAGGTGAGAGACGCGTCAAGTGTGTTGCTGGGGTTCAATATCACTAGTACCCACCCAGCAGGCAAATGGCGTTGAAATAACGTTTAATTAACGATGATTCTGTGAAGCAACATTTACTAAACGTTGATTTAATGAAACATTGTTTAATTCTACGTGGGTTTGAGCCTTGGTTAACTCGGTTCATTTCTTGATGCCGCATGTGGGCGGCAAATACCAGCCGTCGAGGGTGGTGTTTCAGCGTGATCGAAATTTTGAGTCCCTAAACGAACTCTAGATTCCCGTTATCATGGGGGATATTACGTTCTGAAGAGAACAGTGATCTGCAAGAGCACATTGTGCTACAGGTGTATATATAGTGTGCTGTACGGGCACTAAGTGTGTTGGAGAATTAAAAAAAACTCGGCTGTTAAGGGTGTGATGCTTGCTTAGACCGTGCGTTGCATTGTACCTAACCGTAGGCTGAATTGCATTGTATAATGACAGCGCGCTGCACTGTGCTGAATCGTGTGCTCGATAGTCTCGTATTATATGTTGTATTGCTCTTCATCACTGACAACGTGCATTGTGAACCCTGCCGTGCAAGAAAAACTAGCACATGACTTACTACCATGCACCAGGGAAACTCAGACCAGGGGATGTCCATCAGAATTCGCTTAAGTAACGTAGCAACCAATTCCACATTTATGATTTGTTGATTTAGCTTGAAAATACGTCAGTTGTTGGCTGACAGAGTTGCAAACGTAAGTATATTTGCGTAAGTATATTTGCGGAGTTGCGTAAGTATATTTTGGAAAGTACGGCCTCAGAGTTGTAAGTGTTGAACCCAACCTGCCGCACCTTTCTTAGGGCGGCCCTTTGCTCTGACGAGGGGCGCCGTGGCTCCTGAGGGCACCGTGCCGTTCACTGGGGCGTCGCCAGGCTCCGAGGGCGGGTTCATCGCGTCGGGGTCCACTTTTTCCTGTCGAGTCGTTAAAATTACAATCAAAATTTGCGGAGAGTATATTCAGCATTTTTGTTGAATCAAAAGTGCATCAATTGGTCCACGGTGAACTTATTTTGTATAAACCGAGATTAATTTTAACTATCAATCAGATTTTTTATACATGTGGCGTCATTTGGCCTATTTCGAGGGGCTTCAGCCACCAAAAATATTCCTAAAGCCACCCATAATAATTTTATGTACATTTATTATAATCTTTTTTTTTTGCACAATAGTTGCCGATTAATTCAATGTAATATGGCCTGAATATAAGATTAAATCAATAATCATACAACCACTCATTATTAACTTGAATGTGAGTATATAACCATTAGCGAGCTTAGCCCTCGTCCTTAAAACCTAGCAACGCGGCTAACGCCGCCCGGGTTTATACTGTTAAGATTTGTTTCATTTATACCAAAAGAACATTTTAAACAACTAGTGAATGCACAAGTTGGTAGATTCTTCATCGTGCAATTCGAGATTCAAGCAGAACCATTCATCTCTGAAGTATAACGCTTGTCTGTTGACAGTAATCGACTCTGGCTACCAACGCAGCCGTCAAGTTAAGAGTATCATTGGCGATTAATGAGTGAAATAGTGTATAGTAGAGCTTCCCCTCCTTGGTTGACTCGAAGGTTTCAAGAATACTCAATAGTTAGAAAAATTTCGTATTTCATGTCCCCCCCCCTTCAAAAAAAATAAAACTATTTAAAACCTAAAAAAACTTCGAAGTCTTCAAAATAACCCTCCGTTTTAGGCTAGCGAGACATGAGAACAAACTATTCATAGCTAAGCGTGGTAACATTTATGAGCTCTGTTATATATTCCTCCTCTTTAAGATTTAACATGTGGCATTGATGCATTATCACGTCATGCACAAGTCTAGGTTTGGGTTTAATCAAAAAGCCGAGTTGAAGTGCCATCAAAATTACAAAAAATCATCATTACACATAATTAATTTAATCACAAGGAACAAATTTTCCGTTGGTCGCTGACTTTATCAGAGTCAGGCAATAGGATATATTATACATTTGAAAGTCTTTGAAATTATTTTATCAGGAAGTTGTCAGATTTTGCAAATGCTGAGGCCTGAATTGCTTGTTAATTGCAACGTCAATTATCGTATAATAAGCATATTCAAGTTAGAATTGCGCGTGTCCATGGAACCTGCAAAATATAAATAAGTGCAAATATACAGGAATGCCGGTACAGCACTGATTTATCTCCGTTATGTTATACTTTATTCTGATGGTAGCTTTATTTATTTATTTGTTGAAAACTCACCTTCTTGTTTGGGTCGAATCTGTCAGGTAGCAGGAACACAATTGGGCCCCCAAGACCGTCGTTCATTGCATTAGCTACCACAGCCCGCCATCTTGATATTAAAATAACTCGTGTTAAGATCAAACTGTATTCTGTTTACGACCAATATCCGAGTAATATTTTAGAGCGTGTAATATTTTTTGAGTGTTCGGGAGCCTCTTTAGATGTCATCGTCACATTTTGAATGCTTCTAACGGAAACAGATTTCGTCACAATTCATGAGGAATTCTTACGAAGAACAATGATTCACGCATGTTTCTTGCATTTTTTATACCCGGAATACAAAGTTTGTTATATTTTAACATTTCCTAGTCATTTTTCTCAAGAATTTCGCTTAATTCACACACAGTGCTAAAAATTTTTTACCAATTTTTCATACATTTCCCATGCATTTTATTACATATCCTGTGCATTTTGCGCTCATTTACCGAAAAGGAGGCGAGTATTTTCTTTCTTATACATCTCATATTTATTACTCTAAATTTTCTGTGTAATTTCATAAATGTAAACATATTTTAGGTACTTTTGTTGCATATTTTCCTATTAGCTTCATGTATCATTCATACAATTTCACATAAACTTATCATTAAGTTTTTATACATTTTTCATTCTTGGTCTGGGGGCCACAATGACCTATTCGGCAATCTTACTAAAGTAAAAAATAATTATGCAATTCAATTTCAGCTCATTATAATGAACATTATATTTGATTAATATATTAACATTTCTCTCAACTGGTTAAATTGGTTAGGATCTTTTTCAATAAAGGTTATTCATTCAAGCAGGAAGAAATAATTTCCCGAACCTCAAAAAAAGACAAAAAACATGCGGTATGTATTAAAAATGTACGGAGAATAAATGTACCGTCATCTTGCGTGAGCCTCAACCGAATTCGAGGATTTTTGTTCGTGTAATTAACAGATAAAATTTGACGATGGCGTCGATGATGCAGAGGAAGACTCCAACGAAAAATGTTCTCAAAAATAAAATTAGTTTGGAACCCAGGAAGTGCGTCAGGCATAAAATGGTGCAATAAACTACCATTTAAAAAAAGTTCTAGCCTCAAAAGAAGGATGGTAGAGATATCGTTGATTATCCAAATTGTACATCTTAACTTCGACGCGAAAAGCATATTGATAACTCTTCAAATAGATATTATAGATAGGCTTGAAGTGAACAAGAAACTTTAGAAAAGTAATCGCTTTTTTATGATTTGTCGAAGTCTATTTGATGCAATATTATTTTTGCAGTCAAAAAGATTTCATGACGAGAAATAAATATATCACGAGGAGACAGAGGGGTTCTATGGAGGTTCGCATGCAAATAAAACTTCGCTGAAACAGATTTCGTCACACACATCAACAACAATACTTTGAATATGCGGTAGAAATTATGTCATCACTCTCCAAACGGATAAAAATAGTTAAAATTTTATTGTGAATAGTTATTCTTAAAAAATGTCTTTCTTACAAGCAGCTTGAAGTTAGACAGGCGTTACTGAACCTGAATGGAAGGAAAGCATGGGCAAGACTGGTGTTTGTTAGAGTTGCTAAGCAACCTGGACAGTGGACATGTTTCTATACCAAAGCTTTTCACGCTGGTAGTTTAACTTTAAACGTTTAAGCTTCTTTTATAGGCATAGCGTGTCACAATAGTTGTTACAATTTGAGTTGAGGTGTATTGCCTTGAATATTCTTGGTTGCCGTGAATACACCCGAGGGTTAACTACGAGTACATAACCCTAATGATTAAATGCCTCTACCAAACACTGGAGGAAGTCGCATTCCGGAAATTCAGCGATCGGTCATTTCTGTGTACAATACTGCACTACCTAATTGTTTTAGTACATGAAAATTAGGATCCAAGACCTAACCTAATATTTAATTAATTAGACATTTCGTAACCTGGCGGACATTTATGCGGCCGGTTTCTGAATCGCAGTCGCTAATATCCGCAATGAAATATCTCCAACATATTTACGGTAAATGAAACTTGACGCACGAACTCTTTAGAACCTTCCGCTCGTTCTACACTTTGGTTCAATTCACATGTTTACAGTTGCATAGTCAGCTCATTAATGGTTGAACCGTGAGCTCATTGACGGAAAAAATAAACAGGAAACGAACTCGGGTTTATTTACAATGTGAGCTGACTCACTCAGTATGTACTTCAAAATTATATATATATATATAAAATCTTTGCGTAGACAATTTTAAAGACAAATATACGCACGACCGGCCGAGAAAATGTCTGAAAATAACCCGTTTCACCCACCGTATAGTAAATGAAGACGAAATTCAAGGAATGCTAGTAAAACTCATTTACTACGCTCCATCCAAATGTATTTATAAATTAAGAGGCATTTCTTGGGTATCTTATCCATGGTTGAACTAGTAAATAGTTCATTCATGTATCTTATCAGCTTCTGCCCAAGAACCGGCGCGCCAATGTTTTACGGATAAAATTTTTCAATTACTATCAAATTCAAAGCTGCTAGAAATTGTCTTTAGGTAGAAGAAAAATAGTTTAAATATGAGCATTCTGTAAATATAATTTAAAATTTACATTGAATCAAAATCTGTCAATTGAAAAATCATAAACTCGACTTCATTTATCCTGGTGCAACAAGTGTGATACCATCAAATAGCTCCGTATCCGTTGAATGTTAGCATGATAACATCGGTCGAAGCCATTGTAAGATAGCTTTTTTACACTGCTGAGTGCTGGTCAGCTGGACTCCTGTAAAATTTACCATTGAATTAATTCAGTTGCCTTTCTTAGCCAAAGTATAGTTTTTTCAAAGATGCCTTAAAATATTCCGAGAAATGCATCAAGACACGCCTTATTAGTGATCGAATGATGTTTCTTTCCCCAAATCCCGCGGGAGGCTGCGCCGCCGGCCCAGGGCCCCAGGCGCCCCTGCGCATTGCCGCATTTCATTATTAAAAGTGATACTTACATAAAAATAATATGCGTTTCAAAATTACTTTTTAAAGACACTTCTAAGAGGCCGGTCTCTCCAATGTTATACATGTGCAACGAATTCTTATTTTATTTTTATATATAATTTATTTTTAATTTTTTTTTATTCTGTCAATTGATTCATTCATCGTCTCCAACTTTACACAAGTGTGCAAAATTTCAGATCGATTGGACAGGTAGAACGTAGAAGTATGTTGACAGTTGAATAGCCTATTGATCATAAGATTTGTAGCAGACAGACAATTTGACAAACAACAAGTTCTACCTACCTAAAAGTAATGAAGTTGAAGAGTAGAGAAGTGTTGTAATAATAACCTAGCTAGTAGCTAGTCTACTAAGTCCAGTCCTTGATTGATGGATAAAATTCAACAGAAGATTGTTATTGTGCTCTCATAAAGTGGTATTATTGCAGATTAACTACATCCAAAAAANGGACTTGGAGAGTTGGAGCCATTGGCAAGAATTTTTTTTGATAAGATTATTAGTGAACTCATAAATTGGGTAGCTATCAATTGCTGAATAAGGCTGTATTTAGTGATTTTCATTTTATTCCTGCTCTACTCTTAGTCTTACTGAATTTTCAGTAAAATGATTAATTACTGAAGAAATTGTAAACTATGAAAATTTAAATCCATGTGTTGACTGTTGATCTTAATTCTAAATTATAATAGACAGTGGTCACTGGTCAGTGCTCACTGCTCACTGCCCAACCCCACTCCCCAGTTGACTATGCATACTATGGAGTATGGAGTATGGAGCAGTCTTTTTCAGTACTATACCTAGCAGTGAAGGCACTTTGTTTTGTATTACATACTTGGCAGCTGGCAAGTTGGCAAATATTACAGACTTACACTTACAGTGTACGGTCTGTGTACCTATAGATGACTTTAATTTATTATGTCATATGCTACTGTTTCAGTATGTCTTCTATAATTTCTTTTCTTATTTTGTAATAAATTCAAAGCTGACATTTAACTGCTAAGCCTAATCTCTTCTGCTGATTTGTCTATAATTTTACAGATCTTAAGTTAAAGTATTGAATAACTCCACAAATAAAATAATTTACTAGGTTTATTTACTTTTCCTCACAGCAGTTATAAATCAAGGATTCATCAAAATGAGTGAAATAATCAAGAGGGTATGTGTTTTTTTTTTTGGTGCTCAGTTAATATATGCTAAGAGGCTATTCTAGCTCAGTTTGTATGATTTAAGATATAGTAATAGCCTGCATGATGCAATTCAATAGTTAGTATAGAAGAACATGGTATTTTGTGATTTTTAACCCATCACCAATGTTTATGGACTGGTTAAACAGCACATTAGCACCATATCTAGAGCTGTGGTGCAATGTGAGAACTGTCTCTTGCACCCAGCTCCTGGGTAAGAGTCCCTGTCCCACTGAGGATAAGTTCTTCCAGGAAGCTTGGCTCATGGTCAAATCAGCCATTCATTCAACTCTGGTTGATAAAGGAGTATCTGGCTTGTCCATGGTGTTGTGTAATGCAAAAATTATGTAAGCAAACCAGTGATGGTTGTGAATCTATCTGTTCTATCAGTGGCATTAGTGCCTGGAAAGACCTATTACCATTGGCATCACTGACCTATCACCCCCACACACAGCACCACCTCTCACAAGACAAGACACTACCATATACTAAAAAAACATAAGACAGCATTGGTCAGCAACAACAACAAACGTTCTAAAGGATCAATGGACAAGAAATTTGAAATTTTTCAAAATAAAAGTACCTATTAAAGTCAGGTTTTAAGCATATGGATTTTTTTTGCTGTTAAAATTGAAAAACTTATCTCTCTTATTTCTTATCAAAAGTATCTTTTTTATCATATATACTTGTTAAATAAGTTCTAATTTGGCTATATTTGTTGCTCAAAACTGCTTTCAGAGCCAATCGGTCCGATGAAATGTATTGTTTACAAAAGTCTATTGACATTGATTGCTTATGTAAAAAACTAAACATGTGTTAATACTGCTAATTTATCATTAAAGTTGTATCCCCATATTTTCATGCTCTAGAACATGTGAAATTCATCACCTGGAATGAGAAATTTCTATCTGTTAAAAGTTTTCTAGGAGCTATACCTGCTGCCATAATTAAAATTTATTAATTAATTTGTTGAACCTTTTCATTGACTTTAAATTTTCTGTCTCAAAGATTGGAAAATTTGACCAAAAAAGAGCATGTAAATCTATAAACGTGTGACCTGTGAACTTTGAGCAAATGATTTATATACTGGTACTTATTTATTTAATGTGTATTTATACATCTCAACATTTTGTATTGTTTATAATTCTTTGGTGTGTGGGATTTGGTTTTAAATTTTACTCTTATTGAAAAGAATCATTATTCTTTTCATGCATGAGCTGATGGTAAATTTAATTAAAAAATTTACAGTGATTTATCTAGAACCTTTGCAAGTAATACAGTTGAATTACTTTTTCATTCCAGGAGTGAAAGATTTTTAATGTTGCCTCAAAACTAACCTGTTAACGCCTAGTCCTGCGGTGGTGTTGTGGAACTATAGAATAAGTTATTTTAGCAAAATGGTTCACTCTGATGAATCTGCTTGGCAGGTAAGGGATTTTTTTTTGTAATTTAGTAACAGGATTTATTCAGAGATGTTATATATTTGGTTTTTAGTTTATTATTTATTATTGGGAGACATGAAGTTAAGGATTGATTACATAATACATTCATTATATAATTGCTTGCTATCTAATAATGATGGGATTTGTGGTCTTTGCTACTAATTGGTAGGTACGTATTGTAATCATTGGGTTTATTTGATTGTTTTTAGTTATAATTACTAAAAGCTTATAACCAAGCAGAACAAATTTAGAGATCCTGCAACAGAAAAATATTAATTGAAGGCTAGTATAGAATGACCAGATATTTTCCTGGTTGCATTGCACATTCATTCTTTTTATTGTGTCCAGTGCTGCTGTTGATAGCATTTTTGTGAAAATACTTCATTATTTTACTTTAAGTGGGTGAATTATTGGCTCTAGCTGCTAATAAAGGCATATCATTTTCTTAGTATATACCGGGTAGTAGTATATTAATGCACAACATCTATCTGTTTGAATTTATGCAAATTTCGGTAATTATAACTGCCTGGCTTATCAGCAGTTGCATCACAAAGTTATGAATTTAGCTCTAAAATTCTCATTATAGGTACTGGAAATATGGTCTGTAGATGATCATTCTTCAAGGCTGATAAAAATGTTATGATAATAATAGGTTATTTATTCCCTAAAAATATGCTTTTTCAGGTGAAGACTTGAGAAAACAAATTATCTGATTTACTGTTGAGCCATGTTTTTTTTTTATAAAAACTCATGTTATTCATAAAGAAAACTTGTTCAAAAATTAAGTTTTCTACTTCCATCACACATTCTACCATGCTTCAAAAGGTCTAGTATAAAATAGATAAATTTGCATTTCATTATATCTTTGGTAACTCAAACCATCATTAATTCTAGTGCAAGATACAATATATATTAATTCAAATGGAGTTACTGATGTCATTCCTGTTGCATTCCTCAGACTGTGCCAGTGGTGGTTGGCATGTGTGTTGTGATTGGGACAGCAGTTCTGGCCAAGCTTTACTTCTCCTACAGCAGCATCACTGGCAAGAAACAGCCAAAAACTCTTCAAGACCCCAATGTGAAATACCCTCTCAAGCTCATCAATAGGGAGGAAGTTTCTCATGACACCCGCAGATTTACATTTGCCCTCCCTTCAACTGAACATGTGCTGGGTAAGTTTTGGGTTTCTGTCTTTTCATATCTCTCATATTTTTATTTTCAATTTTCAGTTCTGTCTCTGCCAAAAGCTTTGGGTAAATATTTCTTTAAATGTTTTTGGATTCTTCACTCTGTTTTTGCACACTACAAGTGAGTAGAAGGCAAGAATAGCTATACAGATACATCTATAAGTTTCTATCTGCTGTCTATGAGCGAGTGAAACCAAAGGATTAAGTGTCTAGAAAAACTAGTAGCAAGTCATATATACAAGCACATTCTAACCTACATAAGTGAATCAAGCCCAAAAAACGCAGATGCATTAAAATTGGAATCAGACATGACATTACTCACCTATAAAATTGGCCTTAGGAGTTAGGACAAGCACAGGGGAGAATGACAATCTTACTTGTGTTGGCAGGACTGCCGGTTGGTCAGCACATCTACCTGTCTGCCCGCATCGACGGGCAGTTGGTGGTACGACCCTACACGCCCGTCACGTCTGACCACACGCTGGGCTACATGGACCTCGTCATCAAGGTGACGTGGAAATCTTTGTGGAAAGCAAATCTTCTTCTTGTGGAAGTTAATAATTTGATTAATGGTGCATGATTACTCGTTGATTTAATTTGAGGAGTGGGAATTGGGGTTGGCAATGATTAAATCAAAATGATTAAATCATGTGATTAAATCANAAAATCACCAACCCTGGTGGGAATAGAGAATTTTGTTATGCTGTAAATATTGTACAAATTTACCCAAAATGCATTTGAATGCGTGCATAACTTTAAATGCCACAATATTTTTGAAAAAATATTTCATTACTTATGTGCTATTTCTAATAATGATCTCAACTCCAAGAGAAACCACAAGTAAACTGACAGACATACCTTTCATATAGTTAGTACTGTTGTATTAATTGACTTGTCTTTGGTACAGGTCTACTTCAAGAACGTCCATCCCAAGTTTCCTGAAGGTGGCAAGATGAGCCAATATCTGGAGAACATGAAAGTTGGTGACACCATTGACGTCCGAGGACCATCGGGTCAGTCCTCCCAAATGAAATTAATTTTATTTTATAATGTAATGAAATTAGGCTTGTCTGTCTCTTGAGTTTATTTGACTGATTAGTAATAGTTCCTAAATTAAAGAGTTTGTCATTTTTTTCTCGTTACTTTATTTTTCATGACATTAAGATGCTGGGTATTTTAATTTTATGGTCTATAAGTGTTTTTCCTTCAAGAATGAATTCTAGGGTATAGTTGTGGAAGTGTGTGTTTGTTTTTTCAAAGCCTGATATTGTACGTAAATAAATTGGAGCTGTTTGAGTGCGTCTGGCCTATGAATATATCTAAAAGAATATGGAGGCGCTGGAAAATGGATAGTACGTAGGGAGTTGGATACAAAATTAAGATTTAATTTTTAAGTGATATATGTAAGGTAATCCTGATGACAGAAAATTTGTTTCTTAATTTTCAAAGTGGTAGGTTAGTCATTAAATAGGAGGTGCATGTTAAATGTGGGTTTGAAATGAATTTCTTTAATTGCTGTTATTTTGATTTGAAAGTCATTAAGGGGCTTGTTAGTGGGATTGTCAAGTATCAGGGTTTATAGGTAGTTTCCTTGACATATACCTAGATCTGTCACGAATCCCTGTACTCAGGTGGCGCTTAATATAAGAGCGCTGACATTTGAATGAGTTCCTCTTAATTAGCATACTTTAATTTTTACTTATTAACATGATTCAGGGTTATAGAACACAGTTGGGCAAGATACAGATTAATTAATTCCGAAATCTCAGTCAATTATCTATATCGGGCCGATCTGCCAGCATGTCTAAAAATCAATGATGTTTCTGCCTATTTATAATTTATCCTGCCTGCCTATAATTTTTTCCTGCCGGCATAGAACTTTTTCCTGGTGAATATAATTTTTTCCTGCTGAATATAATTTTTTCCTGCCTGAATATAATTTTTTCCTGCTTGCATATAATTTTTTTCCTGCTTGCACATAATTTTCTTGCCTATTCAATGTTTGGCCCTCAGGACTGCTGTCGTACCTGGGCAGAGGCCAGTTCGCCATCAAGCCGGACAAGAAGAGCCCGCCCAACGTCCTCTCCGCCAAGAAAGTCAACATGATTGCTGGTGGGAAGAGTTTAATTATTTTTGCTTACTTGTTCAATTTATTTATTTGACGCCATATGTAACTGCATTTAGTCGGTCGGTACTATTATTCTATATACCGGTATCGGTAAAATCAAATGGCTCTTTGACCTATACAATAGGCATTAATAACTTCATTTTTGTTTAATATCTATTTTCTGTTTGACTTTGTTATCTATGGATACCTATGTTTCCTATCTGTATACCATCACTACGATTACTGAGACGTGTGCTGTTCAGGTGGCACTGGCATCACTCCCATGCTGCAGCTTGTGCGTGAGGTGCTGCGCGACGAAGATGACAAGACACAACTGGCTCTGCTCTTCGCTAACCAGACCGAGGCTGACATCCTCCTCAGGGACGAGCTGGACGAACTTGCAGCCTCCAATGCTGACAGGTTTAAACTCTGGTACACGCTTGACCGCCCCGAGGAAGGTGAGACTTTGAACGTTGTATTCAATGTCAAATGCGTCCATGAATGTTGTGTGGAGCTGTTGGAAAAACGAGCTTCTCTCGTGTATAAGCGTTACCACTGAACAACACGGATAGTAAAACACAAATTGGCTGGGAACAGGTACTGGCAGCGGCGGAGGCGGATTTGAGGTTTACACCCGACGAGGATAAAATGCACACAGACAAGTCGTGCTACTATCCTACAAATTAGTTTCCGCATGGACATAATAGTTCGAGAGAAGCTCGTAACTAACAGCTCCACACAAATGTAAACTCGTAAAACCAGCATGATTCGAATTCAAAATGTAGCGCTGATTTTGAAATGCTGTTCTCTCTTTATCAATAGCTTCTCAAAAATCACTACCTATATGATTCTAAACTGAAATTATATTTGACAGTATTGTAGAGCAGTTATTTCTTCGTTCCTCACTTCAACAATATGCAATGATCATAAATTTTCTAGCGTGTTGGCAATGGATGACGAAAATGTCGGTACAACTACGTATTCGAAGCCAAATTAGATACTTGCATAGGATTGTCTTCAGCATTTGGGTCTCATGAAAATGAGACAACCATCTGGGTCAGCTACTTCTTAGTTATTACTGCAGCACTTCAGTACAGAGGGTTCATGACAGTTCAGAGCGTCTCATACTAATAGCATTCATGTTGTGGTATTCTCAGGATGGAAGTACAGCAGCGGATTCGTCAACAGCGACATGATCAGCGGTCATCTGTTCCCTGCCTCGGACGACCCGCTCACGTTGATCTGCGGGCCTCCCCCAATGGTCAATTTCGCCTGCATCCCCAACCTGGAAAAGCTCGGCCACAAACCAAGCCTCAGATTCGCTTACTAACTTGCAACCAAATCTGCAATCGACTACACAAGAGGAAATCTTATCTTTGTGGTTTTGTTAGCATTAGTGATCAGTGCCACATGAATAAAAATTTTTTCTAATGAACAGTGCCACATAAATAAAAATGTTTTCTCTAATAATTTTTTATATTATTACTGTACACAACATTGATGGAGCATTCTTATAATCAATTGATAAGGATCAGATCAATTGGATTTATAAATACATGGAGCTCGAGCGACGAGCAGTACGAATGTCAACGATTTCATTTAAATCGACTACACACGAGGATATCGTATCTTTCTGAGTTTTGTTAGCATTACTGATCAGTGCCACATGAACAAAAATTTTTTCCATGTTAATAATGAACACCACATGAATAAAAATGTTTTCTCTAATAAATCTTTATACTATTACTGTACCCAACATTGATGGAGCATCCTTATAATCAAATGATAAGATCAGAGGATCAGATCAATTGGGTTTATAAGTACGTGAAGCGCGAGTGACAAGCAGTACGAATGTCAACGATTTCATTTAAAATGACTTGGAACTTCGTGCGTCGCTAATCAATGGCATTGTTCATAATGAAAATAACACACCGATTCCTTGCCAATTTGTCACAAGTAGAAATTACTTTAGAATATTTAGCAGCTTATAATAATGTTTGGTTTGAAACGCTTATGTTGGTGCCTTTGTTATGTTGATACTGCATTTTCTTGTTTCTCGGGAGCTGGGTTTATGCCTGACTTAATTGGTACACTAATTCTTGTTTTTGTGGTGCTTCCAAACCATATGCTTGAGCCATCATCATTGCGGCAACTATCCTCACGATTGGCGATAGTGGGCCCTCTTTTCATGACTGTGATTATTTTCTATTCGATTGCCAATATTGTTTGTGAATAAATATTTGCCTCGTATCGTAGAAAAGTTAAATACGCACTATATATTATCTGAGTGAACATTGAATTATACAAGTTATTTCTGAAACGTGGTTTTATTTGAACAAGGATAACAAGATATATTCTTGGCAAACCGGTTTGTTAAATCGGTCTACACATCAAGATCATTCTGTTAACTTCGAGCAGTCGCCCGTTTCATTCATTCAGCATACAAGATATTTAAATGGTACAATTTAAACTAGCGAAACGTCTTACCTGCCATTTGTTATTATTTTTGAATTGTTACTATTCGACAATGAAAATTCTTCAAGAATATCATACGTGAGATCAACGTTTTTACGGGTTAAAGAATTTTTAAACATACTCCATCAAACGCTTATTTACACCCTTTACTACATTTGCTAGAAAAATTCAATAGTATGAAATTTTTCCCTTTGGTTCGAAACACTGCAGGTTATCTGAAAATTTGATAGAGTTATGCGAATAAGACGACATCATTAGCAACAATACTAGCAGTTCTATGTATAATTGTATCGTCTTCCGGATTTCTCTTCTCGTAATAGCCGAGTCTGCCTTGCACCAGCACTCGCTGCCCCTTCTTAAGGTTTTGATAAACGGACTCGCGCAGGCCAGGTCTGAAGACCGAGATTCGGTGCCACACAGTGTTTTGCAGCATCTCTGCAACACGGTTCAATTATTAATTTTTATATAGGAAGGAAATGCCGACTTGTGGATAGTCTTTACGTACAGTGAGTGAAGTCCTATAAAAATACTTATTGGTTGCAAGGAATCCGGCTTGAAACAATAGTGAATTATATCAATTGGAAAGGATGCTTGCGCAATATCTTCTTTTTCTTTGTCTATTGGTTCAAGATGAAGGCTTTGATTAGTAAAAAGCTCATTTTCAAAATCATTATAGCGTACCGTAGTTGTCAATAAATTAGAAGAAATTCATACATTTCGGTATGACCGGAATAGTTCAGAAGCACCAGCATCAGTAACATATTCAATTTAAATTAACATATTCAATTCAATTTAATGAATTATTGTACACTACTTTGAAATTCGAATGACAATACGTTGCAAATCACTTCAAGGTTTCATGATGTCAATGAAACACTACCAGTTGCGACCATGCAACTGACCTTCTCCCTTCTGATAGTTGATGTGCGTGGCCATCGAGAATTGGACTACAGGGTACGCTTCCGTGCCGCGCATCTCTGCGTCGTTGCCCGCCCGCCCCAACAGCGTCACTTGATTCACACCTTAAAATAATACGACTTGGATATGAATAATTCACTTTAATGAGGAATGGGTAAATAATGCGAATTATTTCAATTTTCACCTACTCACAAATCACCGGATCGGCTTTGAGGCTTATTGGTATAGTATGTAAATAGTTCATTTCAAGTGAAATGTAGAGTTAAAAATGCCATGAAGCATTTCAAGGATTTGCAAGCAGTTCTGTGTGCATGTTATATTACAGTTAAACACCGGCAGACGCTTAGATTTTAATTCTTCACAGTCAAAAGTTGATGCAAATTTTTACAAAATTGTGAAGTCAAAGGAAATCTTGATGTCAACCTGACATCCCCTGACCCACACAAACAGGCATTGAACATTTTTCCATTGGATTATTCAGTTGGTGCAAGAATCTTTTCCCACTCCTGGGCTACTTGCGCACGTTATAAGATTTTATGTGCTCTAAAAATAAGTTAATAAGTTTCAGAAGGCAATGCTCTTCCTGGAATGGAATAGCACCAATTAACACAGTGCCGCTGTAGTTAACACGTTTTTCTTAGCTTAGCTTCGCGTTTGTTTGTTTGTTTATTTGTTTGTTGTTAACATTGACAACGAAAATTAGCCCACTTTTGATTGTTTTAGAGATCTGAAATTCGGCATGCAGGCTATTTTTGCCTAACAATTTCAGATACAATCATAAAAACTAGTAATTAGAGACCGAAATTAGTTTAATTGAGTAAAGTATATATATAGTATGACGTGCGGGCGCTCACATTATAGACGAGCAGGCGCTAACGCTGCGTATCATCGATACATACGTCAAGTCATACTTAATCAAGTCTTAATCGTTTTCCATCAAATTTCCAAAATTTAAGTGTTGTGTGCTTTTCGCTTTAATCATAAATCTGCCCGACACACGTTTTTTGGGGCGAACCATAATTTATTTTTTACTTTTTAGTCCACAAGAAAAACGTGTTTTTTTTTAAGTTTTTTTTAAGTATTTTATTTTAAACATCAATTAGATAATAGTTTGAACCATACCCAACTTCAATGGCAGATGAAATCATTGACTGAAGAGTAGCAAAAATTAAAAAATGTCTCACACTTATTTATGGAATAATTTACAATGATGTTTTCCTCACCATAAACATTGATGGAGGTATAGGATAAAAATGGTTAAAATTCAACTAACTTTTTTCAAATCTCTCTGTAGTAGGGGATGTTGGGGCAGCACCAGTCTCTAGGGAACAATAGCGAAGCGAGGAGGCTTGGGGAGCTGCTACCGCAACACGCAGCAGCGACCCACAGTGTCTCTGAAGAAAATGTGTTTTATTGCATGATAATACAAAAATAGATCTTCTAATAGTTTATATACATAATTAAAATATTTTTTGAATACAAGAATTTCCTCTAGTGATTGTATTGTTGACCTTCCCCTTATCGCACTGTGAGAGAATGACTTTTTGCTCTGTATTTTGTGTGCTGCCATTCTCTCTCCAATGCATTTTCCCCTAAATATCTCCTCTTCTTGTTCCAGATTGCTGTTACTCTTATGGTGACAGAATTTTAATGATTATAGTTGACATGATGAAGTTGTTGAAAGCAGGTCCATTCCATGGCATAGTTACAATACTTACTCCAGTTGGCAGTTGGCTGATGAACCAAGGTCATGGTTGGGATTTCAAGTTCATTAGGTTGGATTTGTCTTTTGTTTAATTTTACTGCAGTTAGATTAGCTAGTTTCCCAAGTTTTCTGTGTGACAAAACTTGATACTAAATAACAAAAAATACTCTAAAGGCCTTACAAGGCCTTCAAAGCTTCAATGCAAGGAGTGCCCATAACAGTGCACGTCATATCGCAGGTTTACAAGATATAATCATGAGAAAAACTATTCAAGGGTCTTTCCTGGTAACAGGTTTCTGAGAAAGTCAATCAGTAGATTTGAGCAGCCTGCAGAACTACAGCAAGAGTATCAAAAAGGGTTTCCAAACTCCTCAAACAATGGAAACCAACCAAATGACTTCAATATACGGTAAATACTTAAATAAGTACTATCAGTTGGTCAACTCCCCATCTGTGATTTCAATTTTGCAGTTTAGGTCAGGAATATAACACCCATGATAGTGTGTGTATGTATATAACACACTGTACGTACCTGTACTTGTATTTTTCTAAATCTTTGAACTGTTGAAGTTGAAAACATGATGTTTTCACTAAAGAAAATTTTTTTTAATTTATCATCTTTTGAATTGGTAAAAAAAAACATGTTTTATGACAAAAAAAATAAGTATCATGACATATTTCATAGGCCAAAATTTATTACATAATTCAAACCAATTTTGACTTGAAATATACTAAAAAATACCTAGAAAATATATTAGAAGAAATATTAAGGATTACATATAATTTGGAAAGTGCTCTGTACAAAAAAATAATATAAAGTGTAATAATATAAAAATATTAAGCAGCACTTTTAAATATATTTTAAAATTACAAATACTATCTGAAAGAGCAATATAACTCACCATACAGGACTGCAGCATTGTGGTGTTTGTCTGTTAGTATACACCAAATCTAATATATTTACAAATAAGCTGAAAACTGTGATGAGTGTCAGGGTGTGAATATATAATTACAAAGGGGTTGTACCAACTATAACAAGAACAGCCAACAATCCATACCTACTCTGTAGGCACAAGAAACAGAATTTATCAATTAAATCAAACAATTTGAATTGTCCAGTTCCAAATTTCAATCTATCGGTTCATTACACTTAATATCTAAAATATATTCTTCGGATTTAAATCCTCAGATAGAAGTTCATTAGTTGATCACAGCTTCTACATGAAGGCCTCTACTCAATTAAATTGATAATAATAAAGCCCCAAACAAATGGGAGCTAATTAAGCCATATATTCCATGTCTTGTCAAATGCAGGATTAAACCATGAAAAATAGCAGCATCCTAGGTGTGGTTAAAGGTACCTATCATAGATACCAGCATTATCCAATTGGGAACATTGTGCATCATTTTAAAAAATTGCAGATAAATAGATATTTTTACAAATACTTTTAAAAAATCATGGGCAAAAATGTGTCAATTTGCATTATTAAGAAAGAAACTTCCTGATTTGAAAGCGCAATAAAAAACAACTAGTAATGATATAATATCAATAGTATAAATTTTATCAAATAAGGCAGTAACTGAATTTATGTACCTATCTCTTAGCTTTAAAATGACTTGGACAAATGATGGGTTGCAACGATAGACCGGCCACTAGAAAAGTACACAGAGACTGCGAACGCGCGCTCCTCTCTCGACCACTGCATGGTCGCAACTGAACTGAGTGGACGAAAAACATAGCCCGTTCACCATATTGCGCATGGCGCCACCTTCCTAGGACTAATGGCCGCCACGTGGCGCGCAATTCAAATAAGTAAGTTCCCGCGCCGCACCCTGTACTAAAAATTACCTAGAAAATATATTAGAAGAAATATTAAGGATTACATATAATTTGGAAAGTGCTCTGTACAAAAAAATAATATAAAGTGTAATAATATAAAAATATTAAGCAGCACTTTTAAATATATTTTAAAATTACAAATACTATCTGAAAGAGCAATATAACTCACCATACAGGACTGCAGCATTGTGGTGTTTGTCTGTTAGTATACACCAAATCTAATATATTTACAAATAAGCTGAAAACTGTGATGAGTGTCAGGGTGTGAATATATAATTACAAAGGGGTTGTACCAACTATAACAAGAACAGCCAACAATCCATACCTACTCTGTAGGCACAAGAAACAGAATTTATCAATTAAATCAAACAATTTGAATTGTCCAGTTCCAAATTTCAATCTATCGGTTCATTACACTTAATATCTAAAATATATTCTTCGGATTTAAATCCTCAGATAGAAGTTCATTAGTTGATCACAGCTTCTACATGAAGGCCTCTACTCAATTAAATTGATAATAATAAAGCCCCAAACAAATGGGAGCTAATTAAGCCATATATTCCATGTCTTGTCAAATGCAGGATTAAACCATGAAAAATAGCAGCATCCTAGGTGTGGTTAAAGGTACCTATCATAGATACCAGCATTATCCAATTGGGAACATTGTGCATCATTTTAAAAAATTGCAGATAAATAGATATTTTTACAAATACTTTTAAAAAATCATGGGCAAAAATGTGTCAATTTGCATTATTAAGAAAGAAACTTCCTGATTTGAAAGCGCAATAAAAAACAACTAGTAATGATATAATATCAATAGTATAAATTTTATCAAATAAGGCAGTAACTGAATTTATGTACCTATCTCTTAGCTTTAAAATGACTTGGACAAATGATGGCCTCCATTTCATTTACCCATTTTTTTTAAGTTTTGTTCACCTCACTGAAACATGCTGACAGGCATGTTGGTAACAGCTTAGCACATGTTATTCTTCAACTGAGGTAGGGTCCTTGGATAGTCACTGTAAACCACTGATTTAAAATAACCCCATGAAAAAGCATCCAGAGCAAAATTGGGAGTGGGCTAGCCAAGGAAGGTTACCTCTCAAGAAGATAAGGTGCTCTGCAAAATAATAATGTGCTGACTGCTGAACAGTGTGGAGAACGCAGAAATGCCTCTAACTTTCTCTACATCTTTGGGTGTTGTGGCAGTCTGCTGACCTACAGAACTTCTTGCATTCACACTTTCACTTGCTTTAAATGTGTTCACCCACATAATTGATTCCTAATCAGGAATCTGACCTGAAGGACAAGCATGGAACCAAGTATGGAATGCTTGTTGAGTAGCAACAACAAAATGGCCATTAGAAAAGCATGCCTTGAAAGCAAATGCATGCTGCTCACTTGTCCAATGCATAGTAGCAACTGACTAGGTGTGACACTTGTGATATAAAACCAAAGTTTAAAACGTTTTAAGCATGCAAAGTGTACTCATCCATTACTAGCAGTAATCTGAAGTCCTCCTTTTCCTTTGAAAATGATGTACATGTAGAATAAATGACATTTCTGCAATTTTTACTTGTTTTTCCTATCCATATATTACCATATCCATACACTACCGTATTATTGATGTAATATTGCCATATCCATGAACATGCCTTGAGCATCAAGTGGCAAGTGCCATCAACAACAATCTTATCCACTGCAAGCTTCATATCAGCAGCCATATAGCATTTATCTGTATCTTTATGCTTACAGATGGCTTGAAATTTCACACCATTTTAATTGGATCATGTGAATTCACTGTAACAAAAAAAGATTGTAAAAAACATACCTGAAACAAAGGAATACTTTGGAGACATCATATTTTTGGAGAAATGAATCCTAATTTAGGTTAATAACTTTTCTTCCCTGTTGCATTGTTGCCCAGTGCACAAATTTTATATTTGGCATTCTATGCACACTTTTGTGTTGACCAATTATGCATTAATTTTTCATCCAGTTAATTTTTTTGCTGATCAAGGTAAATGTAGTTAATTTACTTAATATTTTTTGTTGTTAATTGATTTTTTTGTTACCTGGAGCCTTTGCTAATTGAGGTTCTACTGTAAATGAATTTTTAGGGGTGTCCCTTACTACCCCAGCCTCCCAGGCCCGGTGGCATAGTGGCAAAGCAGAGTTTTTTTTAGACTTTCCCTCAAGTTCATTTTTGAGTCCTATAAGTAGACCAGAAAAGTATCATGGACACCAGCACTATCATATTTAATAAATTGATTAAAATCTTGAGTGAATTAGGAAATTAAAAATGAACTGATTCTAAAAAATCTCTAGTTTGTCACTATGCCCAGCAGGCATGGGGGTGTCCCTTATTACCCTATCTTGCGGAAATGGCCACCATTTTTTTGGGATGAGATAAGCAATCACATTCACGTTTTTGAGCCAACACCTGTGTGCAACTTTTCTGCANGGGGTGTCCCTTATTACCCTATCTTGCGGAAATGGCCACCATTTTTTTGGGATGAGATAAGCAATCACATTCACGTTTTTGAGCCAACACCTGTGTGCAACTTTTCTGCAAGTAAACTTTTTAATACGGTGAATATATTTTTTTTTGTTACAGACCTTAGCAGAGGCCAGTCTGCCAGAGGTAGGTACTCTTCCAAAATCTCACTTTTTAAATTTTTTTCACTGAGCAAGGTAAATATAATCAAAATTCTTTGTTGTTAATTGATTTTTTTTGTTACCTGGAGCCTTTGCTAATTGAACCTATTGAGGTTCTACTGTAAATGAATTTTTAAGGGTGTCCCTTACTACCCCGGGCCCAGTGGGCATGGGGTGTCCCTTATTACCCTATCTTGCAGAAATGGCCGCCATTTTTTTGGGATGAGATAAGCAATCACATTCACGTTTTTGAGCCAACACCTGTGTGCAACTTTTCTGCAGTAAACTTTTTTAATATGGTGAATATATTTTTTTTACTACAGACCTTAGCAGAGGCCAGTCTGCCAGAGGTAGGTACTCTTCCAAAATCTCACTTTTTACATTTTTCAAGTGATTTTTTAAAGGTAGTAAATGTATGATTTCTTAACTTGCTTTATGCTATATAGACGGTAAAAATGTTGAACTTTATGCCACCATTTTTTGTTTTGCAATATTTTGATTAGTTTAGCTGCTAGGCCTACATTTCTACAAGTACAAAATGTGGGATGACTGTCCCGATTTACACTGCCCAGTGCCCATCCCTTCTTACCCTGTTTGATGCTGATTGGTATATTAATATATTATTTATGATAATACTGGTATCAATAATACTTTACTGGTCTACTTATTAGTTATAGGACTCAAAAACAAACTGAATTACTGAAGGAAGTCTAAAAAAAAGTTTGCTTTGACACTATGGCGTATGTTCATAATTTCATGGAATAATAGTTGCATACAACGATAGTCAATATTTTTCCAAGTTCCGATTGAACCAAAATACCGTAAAATGGGGTAACTTTGACCGGCGGGGTAACTTTGACCACTTTTCATTTTTTTAACAAAACCCCCCAAAACTCAAAAACAATTCAACATAGAAAAATTTTGTCAATGGCCATCAAAGGCCTAATACTGAGGCTACGTAACACAATAGAAAGATTTAAAAAGTTTGCATATCTAATTCCCTACTTTAGTGTTTAGAAAAAAGTTAAAAGAAAACTTGCCCCTATCCTTTTGGGATTGTAACATAAACTCAGTTAAATGCCCAAAGCAACAAAGTCAAGTCCTTGCTTGATTGATTTGATGATGGTTTGAAGGCATAGAACTTGATAGAAGTCACGAGTCACGACTCGTGCCACTCATGCGCGGACAGTCAGAGTGTCAGACCGCTTGTAACACCTGGATTCAGCAATTATTATTTAATTAAAGTCTTAATCTTCTCACTTCAGTTTCTTTCCTTCTTTCTCAGCTGGTGCTTGTTCTCCAGGTTGTCGGCAGTCTCACGATGTGAAGCGATGAGAGCATGGGAGGCAAATTGTCGTTAGAATCAGTGCTCTTCACTAGCTATAAGGTAGCTAGACAACTAGTTTGTGTGAGATAAGTAGCAGTTGCTCGCACTATGGAGTGCTGAATTTGTCTGGGGTAATTGCCTCCGCCAAGAAGCACACGTGCACACGTACAGACATGCGAGGAACTCCCAGGGCATTGATGATCCTCGTTTACTACAAATATTTGGAGCACGCAAAGGTCCCATATGTGATTACACAGCGCTGTAAACCCCTGACAGAAGGGAAATCATTTTTTAGATTACAGCTCTGAGTCTTTTCTTTTACGAGGACACAATGAAGACAAAAGATCTGCAGGTTACATAAATGAATTTTGGCGCATTCATCAAGTACCTCGCGCAACTCTTTCTTTCTTTCTAATTTATTCTTATAGGAGCACTGGAAGCTAGTCCATAAAGCCCCTTGCCTAAACTGGGTTTAATTGGTACCTAACATATAATATAGCACGTATGATTGCTCTACTCATGTATTCTCTGAACGTCTTCACTGATTTATATTAGTTCTCAATTAGAATTAATAACTCAAGTCTTTTATATATTTGTCCATCTGTGTGTTAGAAACCTAGCCACACAAATATAATTTGCTGGGGAAAATCAGCCGTGTATCCAGTATACTTATATATATTGTCCGATTATTGCTGGGAATTTTTATTATAAATGCTGGAATTCGGTTAAACGAATACATTAAGAGAGGAGAGTTAGATTTAAAATAAAAGATATGATGTCTACTTTGGTTAGTGTGAACTTAATTTAAATATAGAAAGTTCAAATTTCTTTCAAATTTTAAGACAAGCGACAGTTCTGTGCTGGATGAGGGATCGATCGGGCGTTTCATAGATTATTGTGATTTTGGTTCTATTTATTTTCTGGACTCGGGATGACCAGATTGATATTTTGCAGAAAAAATCTATCGGGGACAATGCCGCAAAAACCTTTTAGAATTTGAGGAGCTTCCAGTTATTGAATAATTTGTTAAAATGATGCATTAATAGACATTGTAATTAAATGTAATTAAATCTGCTCGCTTCAGACCAGAAAAAATAACAGCTTAGATAAGGCTTGAAGTTAGGATAAAATGAGGTGCATTCAGTCTTAGAAAACACGATGATGCTTAGTACATTCTGTACCTGATCTCAGTACACTCTGTACCTGATCTCAGTACACTCTGTACCTGATCTCAGTACATGGAAATTTTACATCAGATAATTTTTTATGATTAAAATCTATGTATGTAAATGATGCAAAGCTCCGTAACTTGCAATAGAAATAAAAGAAACTGAAATATTATTTAACCTATGCACGAGCGGAACGTCTGTAAGATTTT